CTATTTCCCCAAAATAAAATAACCAGAAGAGCCTATTCTTAATGTTGTCTTCTTGGTTATTATTTTGGGGGGTGTTACGACCCTACAGTTGAGCTCGTAGGGGAAGAGGGAAGTAACATAAAACCAAGGATGTAATAATGGTAAATTAGATGGCCTTTTAATAAAACAGGCAAAAGGGGTAACAGTTTGTACTGGACAGCGTCAGAGTCAAATAAAACACACAAAAACACAGGGTTCTCAAATAAACACAAGCACAGAGCCACACAGGCAACCTTAAGCTTAATCTTTAGCGCACACAGACAACACGTTCTCTCAGAACGGTGGCAGACAAGACACTGATTCAAGCCGCCCCGCACAGAAGGAGCAGACTCGTTTTCAAGGCTGGTGCTGATTAGCCGCAGCGATGGATTGGCCAGACGTGGAAAGCGCGACCCAATCTCCGAACGGAAGGCAGAACTGGGAGGCAGCGTGCGTAGCCGGTGCACCATGCAGCGGGGCGGAGCCTGAGCAGAACAGCAGCACAACACAGGAGGGAGGGAAGCGGGTGTACGACGCGGCCCAGCGCCAGCGGCCGTAACACTCCCCCCCTTAAAATACAAGCCATCTCAAAGTAAAATCAGAGCAAATTTGTGAATTACTCACCCGAACACAGAATCACAGACTTTGCCTCTCTCGTGGCGAATCCCTCAAAGGAACACACAGATCAAGGCCGCGAACTGAAACTTGCAGAGCGAGAGCCAAAACGCTCTCCATGGTGCTGAAAGTGCCGCTCGCCTGACCCAAGCCTGGTGGCCCTAGCCTTGTGCTTCCGTACAGAAGTGGCGGGTGGAGTAAAGTGCGGCGGTACTCGTGGTTTCACTGGACTGGCGGGCAGACTACAACCGCACTGTTCTGGAGGACGGGTGTGCGCCACAGCACAACCCGTGGGCATCTGACGATCAGAGGCACACACAAGCGGGGACAGAACCGCCTCCAACAGGGGAGGAAACACCATGCCCCCTGCCAAATCATTACATAAAATCATGTCTACATTTTCAATGGGTAGCGCAGGGACAACAGCTAACGGAAACTTTCCTGTAACGAGGTTTGACTGGACATGAACAGAGTGAACGGGCCGCGGGCGGTAGCCCATCTCAACTCCCCGTAACACACTCCTGTAACCACAGTAAGAGCGGTATGAAAACGGGAGAGCACTGGCCAAAATCAAGCTCTGGGAACCGCCAGTGTCTCGTAGGATACGGATGGGGCGTTGATCTGGTGCTTCGCCATTCAGTGATACTAGGCCCTGTGATATGAAAGGCTCAAAACAGGAGCCGTGATTTTGGACAGTATTGGGTCCTGACTTATGACTTACAGATTGAATTAACCCAATGCTCTGAACGTTTGGAGCTGAACACTCTTCCTTTTGTCTGAGAGTAGGGCAGTCTGCGATTACGTGTCCGGGCTCGCGGCAGTAGAAGCAGACTCTGTCCCTTGTGGAGGTTCCAGGAGAGCGTGGACGATCAGGCTGCACAGACACACGCGTCTCATTAACAGAAGATGACGAAAAGTTCTTATGAGTCAACACAAACTCATCTGCTAACACAGAAGCCTCAGAAATAGTTTTAACCTTTTGCTCATTCAAATACACAACCACACGCGCAGGCAGGTTGTTCTTAAAGTCTTCTAACAACATTAATTCACGCAAAGAATCGAAATCTTGGGCCTTCGCAGAGGCACACCATTTGTCAAACAGATTTCCTTTTTCCCGTGCGAACTCAACACACGTTTGACTCGGGGCTTTACGGAGATTTCTAAAAGACTGTCTGTAGGCCTCAGGCACTAACTCATACGCGCGTAAGACTGCTCTCTTGACTGCATCATACTGCAGGCTCTCAGCGAGAGGCATCGCAGCGATTATCTCTTGTGCTTTACCGTACACTTTACACTGCACAAGGATAGGCCAAACTTCACGAGGCCAATTTAACGCCATCGCGATTCTCTCAAAAGCAGAAAAATACGAATCAACCTCACTCTCCCTAAATGTAGGCACAATTTGTATCATTTTACTCACGTCAAGAGAGTCATGAACAGCTGGGGAGAGGGCTGTGGCAGGTGCAGCGACGCCCGGGCGTTGAGTAGGACTGGGGAGGCGGCCTTCGGCCTCCAGCTCAAGGCGTCTGAGGCGCACAGCTTTGTCAGCCTCGATCTCAAGCCTCCGTATATGCAGTTCGAGCTCGGCACTGCGGTCCCGATCCTTCTGCTCGGCCTCCATCTTGATGCGTGCCAGCCGCAAAGCGCGCCGAGCACCACCAACTGAGCCGGGAGAGGAAGGAGCTGGGGAGGGCGGCCCGTAGCGAGGAGGAGTGCGCGGTGGTTCAGGCCGCGCATCGCCCTCTACAAACTCACGCTCCGCTCCGGGAGGGCCATCCGCAGGCGTCTCCGTACGTCTCGGGGTAGTCGCATGCACGATGCTCTCATCAGACCTCTCAGCCTCTGGGATCAAACGCAAGCCCCTCTCCACCAAACCATCCAGGAGCAGCACCTTGAGTTCGGCCTTGCTGCTCTGACGGGAATACAAAATCTCAAAATGATCGGCAACCTCAAATAGATCCTTCTTTTTACAGCGCTCAAGTGCTTCGGCCGAGGGATGAAGCAAGAATGCCTGTAAATTGAAAGCGGTTGCCATTCTCCCAATGTCCAAATACAATACAGCTTACCCCCCCACTTACCTAATAAATTTGATTCGGCCACCTAATGCCGGGAACGTGTAGATCCCGGACGAGCCCCCAAATATGTTACGACCCTACAGTTGAGCTCGTAGGGGAAGAGGGAAGTAACATAAAACCAAGGATGTAATAATGGTAAATTAGATGGCCTTTTAATAAAACAGGCAAAAGGGGTAACAGTTTGTACTGGACAGCGTCAGAGTCAAATAAAACACACAAAAACACAGGGTTCTCAAATAAACACAAGCACAGAGCCACACAGGCAACCTTAAGCTTAATCTTTAGCGCACACAGACAACACGTTCTCTCAGAACGGTGGCAGACAAGACACTGATTCAAGCCGCCCCGCACAGAAGGAGCAGACTCGTTTTCAAGGCTGGTGCTGATTAGCCGCAGCGATGGATTGGCCAGACGTGGAAAGCGCGACCCAATCTCCGAACGGAAGGCAGAACTGGGAGGCAGCGTGCGTAGCCGGTGCACCATGCAGCGGGGCGGAGCCTGAGCAGAACAGCAGCACAACACAGGAGGGAGGGAAGCGGGTGTACGACGCGGCCCAGCGCCAGCGGCCGTAACAGGGGGCCACGCAGACCCGTCAGATTTTTAAGGGGGCCTCGGTGTTACTGAGTTTGGGAATGGCTGCTCTAATAAAACCACTCTCATTCCAAAGTCTCCAATAAAACCAGAACCTGTTAGCTCTTTCTATTAGATCTAACATCAAATATGACATTATACTAGAACGTTTTATTCTAAAGCTAAGATACTATCATTCTATTCTAAAGCTTGTTTTGTTCATCCCAACAGAAATAGTCTTGTAAAAGTAAAATGTTTTGAACAATGTTTTGTTCATCTTATTAGTAAACATGTTATGTTTTAAGAAACAGCTCTGTGAACCACTTTGGACTGAGAACTTTTTGGTTGAGGGGCGACAGTGGCTCAGTTGGTAGAGCATTGGCCTTTGAGCCCGAAGGTTGTGGGTTCGAGCCCACCACAAGACCCACTTCACAACTCCCACTGATGATTGCTGTCGTTGTGTCCTTGGGCAAGACACTTAACCCCACTTTGCCTGAAGCTCCCACTGAAAGATCTCAGCTCCTGTGGACTCACCACCTGCAGGAGGATCAGTGAGGGGCTGGTGCTCTGTGTACCGGGTGCAGCTCTGACTGCCACCCCCCCGACCCAGAAATGGATTAAGGGGAAGAAAATGGATGGATGGATGGACTTTTTGGCTGAAAGATGATGACCTAATACATGTGACAAAACCAAACTTACTGAGAGTAATGAAATATTTAAAAGAACTTGAATACAATACAATATTGTGGTTTGATGTTTAACTTTTATATTTTACATTTTGGGATGAAAAAAAAAATCTATAATGATAATAATAACAATAATATATTGCTGTAGACATGTAGACACCTATAGCAAAAAAGAAAACACACATGACGCCCCAACCATCGGAGGATATACTAAATAATTGTTAATCAAATCCGGAGCATGTCTATTGATGTCATAGTGTTTGAAATGACATACATTTGGCTCAAAATCCTCCTGTACAGCTGTCCAGTGTTTACCATCGCGTCGACACCACGTGGATCTGCTCAGCGCACTTCCTTAGCAACGTATATATGAACCAGGAAGCACTTCATACGGCTGCAGTCGATTGGCTTTTCAAATAAAACTACTGAAAGAAATGACAATAAAGTTAATCGGCTCCATAAGCAATGCTTCTGACAACAAAAATAAGGCGCAACGAACCGGAATGAAGCTACAGATGACGTTAAATTACTGGGAGTCGATCAGTGTAAGTTGTAGGTTGTTTTTGTGAGTTATTTTGGCTAACAAGCTAACTAGCCATGTAACTGCTAGCTTGTTGTGCGATGACATTTCTCTTGTGCACACAATTAAAACTTACAACCACTAAATATTTAGCGAGCCGGTTTGATCCTGTTGTATACTTTTCGTTGATTTTCGTTTTCTTTGATTGCTTTATGTTCAACGCTATTGTTGGTGGACAATTTAAAGTCCGAGACGACTTCTGTCGTGGACCATACATAAAGACATTAAATTTAATTGAACATACTTTTGTTATAGTTAACGTACCCTAGTGCATCTAACAGCTAAATTCTCAACACATACCTTCTATAGGTGCCTTTAGGTTTAGGGTTGTATTGAAACCTGAGCTTCCCAGGTTTTTTTTAAAAATGTATTTTTTTCTTTATTACAGGTGTGTCAAACGTCTTCCCTGGAACTGTACCATGGGCCATGATTGACTTTTCTAGTAATGTGAGGGTTATGGCAAGTCTAACAAACTGTGAAGAGCAGCAGGAACCCTTTATTTTGTCGAACTCTTGGCCCAAAACCCAGGAGTCCGATAAGAAGTGGAAAGGTTTTGGTGGATTTGTTTTGGTTCATGCAGGTATGGTTGGTTATCTAAAAGATAGAAACTGTGACTGTAACTGTTTTGAGCCTATTTGAAAATGCCAGACTGATATTGACTCGAGATATTAGAAATATAGTTATTATTTAGAGAACAATAATTATTTAAAGTATTTTAAAACACTAGGCCTACAATGATTAAGCTAAGATATTTGTTTTCATTTATTCATTAGAACAATGGAAGTTATGGATCTTACCTTTTAGAATAATAATTATTTAATCGGGAAAGTAACATTGCTTAGCTTGTTTTCATTATATTGCCATCTTGTGGATATCTGCAACACTACAAGTGCACAGCTAAACGAGGAGGTGATGACATCATCCTCTCGCCTCGAAGTCATTTTAATTCAGAACTCTACCATTGTCTTTTAGGAGCAGGATATCATTCAGAATCCAAAGCCAAGGAATACAAGCATGTGTGCAAAAGAGCTTGTCAGCGGGTGAGCCCTTCATCATATGCCCTGAATTATGCAACAATTTGAACCATGGAAAGGATTGCGTTGTTATTCCACATCATACAATGTGTAAAAATAAAGTAACTAATAAAAGCGTTTCTTTCTCTTAGGCTGTCGAACAGCTTAAATCAGGTGCATTGGCTGTGGAAGCTGTTGCTGCTGCCTTGGTTGAACTTGAGGTTGTATTTTATTTTTGCATTCCAAATTAATTGTGGCTGTTGTTAAAATATAATGATACTCTCAGCATCTGTTGCATAGATTTATGTAATGACTTCAACTAACACCTTGCTTAATTGCGTCCTTTTAAAATAGGCTCAGAATCGGTTTAGGAAGTAGCAGTAAGTCACAAATAAGGAATTTGCTTTGGCTCAAGGTGCAAAGCAGTTAGAGGGGTGGTAGAGGGGTGTATAAAAAAAATCTAAAAATCTCTTAATCGTGTACACAATAGATGTTTATAGAACATTATAGAATAATGTTTTATGATCAGTTGAATTATGTCAATTTAAAATTCCTCAGGGTAAGATTTGGTTCTGGTGAATGTAAACATGTATTTATTTTCCCCAGGACTCCCCCTTTACAAATGCTGGCATGGGCTCCAACCTGAACTTATCAGGAGAAATTGAATGTGATGCTAGTATCATGGATGGAAAGTCACTGCATTATGGTGCTGTGGGTGCAATAAGTGGTAAGCATGTATGTCCAAATAACATTATCACACCCCATGTTTTTAGATTATTTACTTACTTACTGATATACATGTGTATATGTGGGTGTTGTTTATTTAGGTATTAAAAACCCAATCTTAGTTGCCAACCGTTTACTAACTGAGGCTCAGAAAGGGAAGCTGTCCGCTGGACGAATACCTCCTTGGTAATTGTAATTGGTTTAAATAATTATGGTGACATTGAACCTGGGTTTTCAATTAGCTGTCTTAGTTTTTTAGTTGGACAAGGAGCACAGGACTGGGCTGTTGGCCATGGAATACCACCTTGTCCCTCAGAGAAATTGACTACGAGTGAGTAGATTTGATTTTCACTTTCCACACCTTCACTTTGGGAGCCATTGGCATAGAGGATTAGTCTGAGGGAAGAAAGATGAACCCTATTACCTCGAGGTATGCAGGAAAAAGATAATTGTGTCCCTTTACACGATTAAATCCTCCAGTTTTAACAGTACAGGCTGGTCTAAAGTCTGTTCTTCAGACCAGACTTCAGACTCTCTTAGGAGTTATCTCATTAATAGTAACAATATTGCTTTGTAATATTTACTTGAATCTTGACATACCTCTATGTAGAAGCTGTATTTAAACTGTGTTAATAATAATGTTTTTGTAGATGACACGTCTTTTGTTACATGTAGAATATAGTCTGTCTGCCTATAAGAGGAACAAGCGAAAGATGGAGCTGGCAGAGAATATGGACATGGGGCATAATCAGGCCAAAAGAAGGCGACTATCAAGTGAAAATGTGAGTGGTGATGTGTTCAACTTCTACAGATTACAGTGCCCTTGGTTAAAAGGCTTTTTGACAGGCAACAACCAAGACATCAAGATATATTCTGCCAGTTATGATCTCACATTCTTCAAGGGTCATTGAGGGAAAATGCTATTGCAGGTTGCTTAGATAGTTTCCAAGAAGTGATTCAAGCGTTGACAAGAGTTCGTGTTTGGTTACAGTGCCCTTAGCAGCACATATGTGAAGGCCGCAACGTTGAGTTGGAAGCAGCTGAAAGCAAGTGCAATTTGTTCTCAGCTATAACTGAAAGGCTCTGTAGTGGAATGAAAACTTTGCCTAAACAATTTTGTTTTATTTTTAACAGTAAAACTTTTAAATCATTCTTAAACCGATCTTAATCTTTTTATTTATTTAATACATTATTATAATTATGAAATAATATTTCTGCTCATTTCCCTTCTTGTGATGGATTAAGGGGAAGAAAATGGAAGGATGGCATTTCCCTTCTTCCCTTGTGTAGAGAGAACTTGCACACTATACAAGAGGTCTCAACCTCTTTCATGTCCATTTAAAGCTTATCCTCTTTGACCAATGTTGTCTTCAGAGCAACTTCTCAATACTCTCTGGTTTAACTAAAGCTTTAGTGTAACAATTCTGATTAAATTTTCTTTTATACAAACAGCCCTTGTTCTTTCTCTGTTCAGTGCCAAGCAATAAAATCTGTTCATTCCAGTATAGACACCTGTCTCCTATTTTACTATTGTAATGGACAATTTTAAAGACCCCTAGGCTTAGCTTTTTAATTGGGTATTCTCTGTACAATTAGGAGTTTGATAAGAAACGACAAGAGGTTATTGGCGCAGTTTGAAAAGCTTGATCCAACAATTTTTGTCTTCAAAGGCTGAAGCCAAAGTGGATTTTGTGGAGAGAAAAAGGAGCAAATGGGAAAGATTTGCCTTAATAGTCTAGATTCAGAGATGCTTTCTCAAGAAGTGAGTGCAGTTCTAATCAAGTTTCACAGTGACATGTTGCATGTTCATGTGTGTTTGGCTGCACAAATAGTGATGTTTGTAAAGGCAGCCAAAGGCCACAGATCAATGATCACACAGTGCCCTCGTCTGGCATAGCTGTATCACTGCGTCTATCTTTTTTGCATATTTCGCACTGCATTGTCTTAATTCTAACATTGTCTTAATAATATACGCTCCATAGGCTCACCATAGTCTTCTTCTAAATTATGTAAACCAAATGCACAAAGCAGCATTTGAATCTTTTATTTCATAATTTTCAGTATTTAAAAAAAACAAAGTTAGTATTGTACTGAGTTTCTCTGTGTATGGATTGTACCTTACAAATACACATGCAGTGCCTTGCAATATAGTCCTGTTTATGCTTCTTTATGCCCAAATGTAGTTCTGATAAAGGTCTACTCCCGTTCATTGTACTTACTGGTTACTTACTGGTTACTTGTCAGTTGTCACATTTTGTGTGAATCAAAATTGGTAATATGATTACTGTGTTGCAGGAAAATGGATCTGGGTGCCTTGATACAGTTGGGGCTATAGTTGTGGATCTTGAAGGTAATGTTGCTGCAGCGGTGTCCAGTGGAGGCCTCGCCATGAAACACCCTGGCAGAGTTGGACAGGTAGTTCCATATGTACTTGTCTCACCACATAAATGTTGGTTTAATAATGTTTTTTATTTGATATATTATATGTAAAATAAAAATTGTATGCTATAGCATTAAAATACTGATAAAATAAAGCTAATTATTATGCATATTTGAATGCATGTAATCTATCCCCCCCTTATAGGCAGCTCATTACGGATGTGGGTGCTGGGCTGAAAATGCAAGTGATATGATTTCCTACTCTACAGCAGTGAGCACTTCAGGTAAATACAGATACATTGCTGCATTATCTTTTCATATTTTAGATATCTCAAAAAAACATAAATGTTATGCAAATTACCTCCAACGTGTTAGCAATACATTATTGCATTTCATGTTTTAGAATGTGAAAATAATTTCTTAAGTAGAATATATATATATATATATATATATATATATATATATATATATATATATGGATAAACATGAACAAAGGGTACAAAAATGATCTCCAAATGTAATTCCCCATCTCATAACGTTGCATGATGCTACATAATACCGCCACAGGGCTGTAAATAACAAGGAAAATACCTAGGTCCCGCCCGATATCAATTAGAAATCATGGAGCTAAAAAAAACTAAAGGTATTTTTTTCATGAGGGAATAATGTTCACTCTCACTTCTGTTTTCTGTTACTTTGTTGTGGTCTTTGAGTAAAAAATACAAAATTATATCTGTGTTTGTAACATTACAATTTATGCAAAAGGTCAAGCTATACTGATGCAAGGCACTGTACTTCCAACAGGCAGTCTAGCTGAACCAGTTGTAAAAGATTACAAGCAAAGAACTATATTTCGGTAAAAAGGTACATACTATTGCTTAAACTTATACAATATATAAGGGTTATATTTCCATCGTCCAGTGTTTACGCCTGGCTTTTGCTCTCGTGATGACAAGTGTCAGAAACAGATATTTAATGTGCATTGTTTTGCGTCAGTGAGCGGCGCTTCAAAAAGCCAGATAATACTTTCCGATGACCTCCGAGCGCTCCTGTCGAGTGATTCTCTTCTGTCATTTCCTCGGCTGATTAAGTCATCATACTCTGCTCTTTGTTGCTCAGCTGCGTGCCAGGTGCCATGCAATGGTTCTTGGATTAGCAACATAGTTTGACACTAGATATAGACACTGCAGCGGGAATTGGATCAACTCTAGTATGCATACAGTGGGTTGGAAAATGTGTCAATACAACCTTTTCACATTTTGTCATATTTACAGCCATGAACATACAGATTTGATTTGATTTGTTTTCTGAAATACCACAAGAAGGTAACAGGCATCTGAGCAGTGTTATATGAAACTGCAAAGTGGGGCTTGCAAAAGTATTCAGCCCCCCTTTTTCTGGGTGCAACTAATTTCCTTTTGTTACCTATTGACTGATGAATGGTCAAATCTCTACTGGACTATTAAGTACTGCACTAGTGGGGCTTTAAACATTTCAAGACTAACCAAATAATACGTTGGTCCCCATTTATAATTGTTGTCCCTGAATTGCATCTTTCGATCAATATTCTGAAAAATTATTAAAAAGTATCATGACCCACAGGTGTCCATAGCCGGAGAACTCCATAAATGACAAAAGCACATGCTGTCAACAGCTGTCTTTGTTATTCCTTTTGTTCCTTTTTCTAATCATTATTAAAGTACGCCAATGCACAGTTCCTTGTTAGAAAATGCAAAAGATTTTGTTATTACTGGACATTTTATACAGTTAATATTAACATGTTTTTATATTTGTACTGCTTGAGTACATGCAGTGGGCGGAAGTTCAAACCATCATATTGACTGCAGCCAGATACAGTTTGGTCTCTTGTGGGTGTGATCAAAAGCTCTGCAGAAAACAGAACCGAAGAGGCCGGAGCGCCCACCTACTCACTCCAGCCGGTCAATTACTACTAGAGACTTTAAAATGTTGTACTTTTGGCCTTGTGTTTCTTGACTGAATTAGAAATATTATATGAACACAAGAAACCATTAAAAAAATAACTATTGTTTGTTCAATTTTGACATAATGCCTCAACTTTAGGCCCCCTTTAACTCTATTACCCAAGGCACTGTCTGCTGAGTGTCTGCACTCAAAAAGACAGACGTTAACAAAGCCTGCTTAGTTTTTGGGACAGTCTTTTCTTGAACGTAAGTGCGTAAAACAGAGCATGATTTAAGACAGATCTGCATGGCATTGAAAGACGATATTATATTCTGCTCCACTTGAGACATTTGTGTGGAACATTGCTTCTGGGCAACATTTAAACCCTTTTGAAGTGGATGTGAATTCTAATGTGTCACAGTACAGATGGACTCATTCAATCAGACATTCTGGGGTCATGATGTGTATCAAGAGCATTTCAAACGCAGCGTTTATGTGATCACAAGTAATTAGTGTAACATTGCACTTGATAGCTTGTCAGTAAATGGCTATTAGATGTAAACAAATATCAGACTTGCCCTGATTACCTTAGCTGCAGCAGTGTATCTCATAACCATATCTATTAGGGACTTTAATACTTTATAAATGGAAAATTGGATTTAAGAACTCCACAGAGATCAAATTAGCCATGAATCATTATCATCCAACACCGTGTGAATAACAGCCGTATCACTGTATGATACAACATACATACGTACATACAGTATATACAGTACATACATAGGAGCTATTTCAATTTCACTTTAATAATGGCATAAAGACTTCATTGAATTATTAGATATAACGAATATAATATTTTGCAATCAAGATTGATTGAGAGCAAGAGATATATTACTACATATAGTACACATTTACTTGCCTATTATAGTTTCTATAACATGTCCTGCCCCTCAAACTCAGTTTCAACTCGAATAAAGATAGGCAATATACTGCAGTTCGCTGTCATGTGTTGTTTTACTTTATTCATAGTTGCAGCAGAGACTAACTTAACAACAACCCTCCTTCCAAAAAGTTCATTCTCAAGTTGTGCAAACCCCTGACAAGAGTTTTCACTTTGAAAACGACAGTAAATCTTCTGCTTGGCTCTATTGTTTTTCCTAAAGTTAAAATGCACGTTCAAGGGTATTCATTATTCTGTGCCAAAATACAGTTAATGTATTCTTCCCATCACTTGCCAGATACAAGTGAAGATACATTTTTCACAAAGCAGATACATATCAGTAATCTTTTAACCAGTTATTTTCAGTGGTATAACATTCAGTGGTTGTACAATAGTCTGCCTGGGTATTTGTATCCACTTTTCATACTGTGGCATTTTGAAATACTGGAAAATGGATCCTCTTTTGTAAGTAAATTCATAAAGTAAGCAAACTTGCGCTGCAATATTGTGATTTCATAATTTGAGCTCACTTTGAGAACGACACATGCATTTTAGCGTATGTAAAAATGCATTTACCGTATGTTAATAAAGTTGTATTGTTTAGAGGATCAGTTATACAATATGTTTATGAACTAAATATAACTACATGTAGATTTCCTCAAAACATCATACATGTTTAGTTTAATCATTTTGAGTTCAAAGTGACTGCCAATATTATTTGTCATTCCTTCGCCCCTGGAGTTGTGGCGTGGATGTTTAGCCTGCACATTTTTTCGCCATATAATGTCTTCCTATATTGTGGTTGTGCCTTTGATGTACCCCTCACAACAGGATGGAGTGCAAAATGTGTGTTCCAGTGCGACACCTGTTTTTAATTTCCCAACATGAAAGGCATTCCCATCAAACGGTACAGAACGACAATCATTTTTATTCTGACACACAACTGTACGCTTCTCACCCTCTTGTGTCAACCCCTTTTCTGCCTCAGCCCTTTAACTATGGCCACTCTTTCATTGGGGACTGTTTATTAGTCATGAACAACTCATGGGGCGTAGGTTTTACGCGTCCTGACAGCGCTCGTCCGGTTTACTCTTTGCTGTGATGAGTGACAGTGAAGCCAACAAATTTCTTCTCCATCTGTCACTAAGACGTAATGCGATCCATTTTAATTATCCTACCAATTTTTCAGATTTTGATGAGGGTAAATCAACGAATATATGGAAAAAATATAAGTATTATATAGTATAGTATAAATCACATCACTATCTCCCACCAAACCAGGACCTGGGCCTCCTATCAGACAAAATCAACTTTTCTTTGTATTATAGAGTTTTATTGCATTTTTCATTCTGCTCCTTTGGTTTGAATTGGGGTTCTGATGCATCTCGTTGAGAGGGCAATGCAAATGTTCATTGAATTAAAATCTGGGGACGGAGATTTCTTTTGAATGGAATTTCAATTGACCGCATGGGACAAACTGCAAAATATGGCATGGGTGCAATTTACTTTGTTATAGTGGAGCTAGTTTATTTAAAATGATAGGCATGATATGATTTCCTATGCATAATTTTATATTTATATTATCAATGCAAAACGTGGCTACTGTACAGTTACAACAATCACCTTTGTCTGCGTGGTCGTGTGCGTGTTTTTTAAAAAACAAAGTAACATACGATAAAGAAAAAATGGCAGCAGTTACAATAAGAATGACATTATTTGACATCTCGCCCTCCCTTCCCGTGTTAATTTACCCCTACAATACGCAGTTCTAGTTTACACTTGTAGTGAGTGGCACAGCAGCCAACAAACGTCAAAACGCCTCCCTCCCAACTGACAGCTATGACATTCACCTACACACTTAAACCCTTTTTACATGCACTTTTATTGAATTACTGCCGTCTTTGCCGCTGGTGTGATAGACCGCCAATGACTTCCAATTCCCCAAGTGCTTTATGGTAAACAAAGTACAAAAGGCAAAATACCTGGCCAAAAGCTCTGCTCTCGTTTAAAAAGAACGTGAAATTACTGCAGGCATCTGGTCTCCATGGCAACTGACTTGCATTTGAGTTCTGTTGTAGTTACCTGACGTTTTATGAGCCCTTCATTCGTGTTTACAGAAACAATACGGCCATTTTCTGGTGTCTTTATAGGCTTACAGAGAGCCGGGGCCAGATGTGTTTCTGATCACTCCTGGAATTGTCAGCCTGCCTTTTGTGCAGAACACCCCATGCCGCCTCTTTCACATTTTTTATCAACATTCTTTTTGCACGGCCAGGATTATTCATGCACAAACGGCTGGGAAAGCTGTGACGCAGGTGTCAATATACACTCCTTCAATACTTATCTTACTACAAAAAGTACTGAACGGTTTATCATTTCTATGTTTGATTCATATTCTCTTTCATTTGGCATTATTCATGTCTAGATCATATCATTGTGTTTATTAGCAAAGTAGTTGTATCTGTATTGTAATTAAAAGTATATCTCCAAAGTGATGTATTAACACTCCCAATCAATTTGTTTTATAGAAATAGATTGAGTTGTTTTAATCCAGGATTAAATCTTTGCAGAAATACAGAGGTATCTGTTTTTCTGCTAAATTCTAATAAGTCGAGACAAAAGGAACACATTTTGTGCTGTACCCCATGAGCAAGACACTTGTGGTACAATTTGTTTGAACACTAAGCCTAAGGCACTAAAGCGAAGGCACACAGGAATGAAACGTCGATTACTAATGTATAGTCTTTGTCAGATTTTCCATGGTCTGATTTATAATGAGAGGATGAATGTCTTAATCTTCAAAGAATTGTCAATAGTCATAATTGTGTGCACACAGTGACCTCTCAAAACGCAATATAATTATAGCCATATTATTCTAATATCTGCAAAACATATTTTCTGTTCAAATGAGATCTGGAAGCTCTTGAAATGTTCAGACTTTGCCAGACTGTAATCTGCATTCATACCAATTAAATGGATTCCTTTCCTCATTTGTGGGTTTCACATCTCTATGTAGCCGTGGGGAAAAAGGAAGAAAATCGTCAAAACACAATTTGCAGAAATCCATTCCTTACCCTCACTTTTCACAACTTTAAAAGACTAGTGCGAGTTGGAGCGTGTCAGTGAAGCTAGCATAGTTCGTCCTAGTTAGCCACATTAGTATTCCACTGATTTCTCAAGCTTAAAAAATGCAGGAAATTAACCATTTTAAATGTTACTACATACCCACATCTTTTCACATGGACACACTGTAACTACGTTTGCATATGTACATGTAGAATATTTGGGTACTGGCTATGTTTGTTTCTTTAACAATAATGTTGAATATTTTTTTTCAAGGTATTTTTTTTTCATGGTAACTCCGAGTTCTGATTATATAGCCCGTCCGTCCATGGCAGCGGGTCCCTCTCTCAATGAGGGGCTTCCTGAGGTTTCTCACTTTTCCCCTCTGTTTTTCCTTGCCGACAATAAAGTGCACATTTAGATTTTTTTAACATTTACTTTCAGGAGTGTCTAGGACATTGTTGATGATCCAGGACACTGGACATTCAACAACATTTAGGGACATGGACATTGATCATCTGCCCCTTATGGACCAATGGCTTTATGCGTTTTTTAAAATAATTGTATTTCTTGTGTTTGAACTGTTTGTAGAGTCCTCTGAGATAACTACTGTTGTGATTTAGGGCTATACAAAAATACTTTGAATTGAGCTTGATTGTTTACAAAACAGTCACACAACACAAATGTCTTTCATTGTCTTCCTCATTTAGATTACCTATTACCTGTCTCTTTTGCCAGGCTGTGGGGAGCATCTAATTCGCACCATGCTGGCCCGGGAATGCTCCTCTGCCATGCAGTCAGAAGATGCCCACCAAGCGCTGCTGGAAGCTATGCAAAACAAATTCATCAGTGAGTCACTCCGTCGCACCAGAGTCTTTCCATGTACACAAAGCTCTGTCGGCCAAGAATGTGTTTATGAGGAGCTGCGTGATACATGAGGGGAAATACACACATATTTGTAGCATAAGAAGACATCTCACTCTTTTATTATTGTTTTTGACAGGCAATTCATAAAATGTAACTATCACTCTCAAGGTGATAAGAATAATTAAACTAAAACATGACTACTCCGGACCAGTTCGAATTCCAAACTCGCAGATAAAATGTGCAGTAGTTCAAAGATTTGACATGTGTTTTTTCAGGTCCCTATATCTCATTAGTGAAAATGACCTTAGCTGATAAAGGAGAATTGGGGAATTGTCAAAACCCAACAGTGTGTCTTTCTACAGACACAACCCCCTTACCTTCTTTTTTATTGAAATATAAGAAAATAAAAGCAGATCTTGGAGTTTTATCTCTCTCTGTGTCATCAGAGTACAGTACTCGCTACTTTTTTCAAGTTTGTTAAACACTACTTAGGTCTGCCTCCAATGTATGTATTTTTATTGCGTTAGAGCGTGAACCACAATTATTATCAAAATAGATTGGATCTGCTTTGATCGTCTTGACTGATTTTTTTTTCTCCAAATGGTTTCTGCCGTTTTGGAAAAAGTAGGTTCTAGTTTAATTGGTCTGGAAATTAACTATTTTGTGTAAATTTTCTTGCTATAATAAGCTGCGTAAGAAGTTGTATGTGTTCCATTCTTCTCAACTTGTACTACTGCTTTTGCTGGTCTTCTTCTTGGTCATTTTCTCTCAGGTGCCCATCCTAATGCAGATTTCTCCTCTGTGTGTCCATACCATGCCATCACCTTTTTCTGACTTCATAACTGCTTTTTCTACCTGAAATGTATTCCAGGTAGTGTATTAATATATTATTCATTCATCTCTTGCATAGTATAACTTGAGTGCTGTTTCCATCAGACATTATTTTAAGGATGCATCCCATTAATCTTTTGACTTTAGTTTGAATACCAAAATCTTGATGAAAAAAATATTGAAATACCTGCCCTAGATATAATTTCCAACAACATATTTAGAGTTTCACATCAATAACTAGCTTGCACTTTCTATGATTTTATGAACACAGACAGAAGACAAACGTTTAATTTATAAGACATTTCACAACAATTAAATGTCCCAGACGCTACAGCGGAGACTCGAAAGTATAGAAGATTTTAAATTTTTCCTGTGGTCACTTTGAGAGATACTTTTAAACTGTGAATGACCACTGCAGCCCAGAGCGGAACAACATGTGGTGGATGGGGCCTCTCTCTGGCCTCCTTTAGAAGTCTGGACCATTTTTTACATGACCATATGTAACTGCGAGACGTTTGGATATGCTGGATAAAGTCAATTTGAAGTTAATTCTTCTGATGTCTATTTCTAAGACACACATTAGGCAAAGTTAAACAAAGTTAATGGATCCTGCCTCAGTTGGATCGGCAGTGAGTGTCTGTGATCTCCACTGCTCTTATATGGAAGAGTGAAGAGGGCTCTGACTGTCTCACATGTGTGCTCATACAAGAGCACAGGCAGAAACACGAAGGATCTCTCAAACTAAACAACTGTTTCAAGCCATGCAGATAATTGGAAAATTGCTCACTCTATCCAAAGATGAATGTATACAAAATTGTAGATGCACAGATGTCACAACATTTGCATTCAATTTTGGAATCTAAGACCAATCACAAAGAGAAAAATGTAGTTGTCAACAAGTTTTATTTTTCATTCCTGAGATTTAGGGCTGTAACAAGTGAATCAAAAAATGTGTTATTGATTAATAATTAATCTTTTTCTTTCAATCATGAAGTGGTTTATGTCTTGGAAATATTTTCAAAAAGTATTTTGAATCAAACCACTATTTTTGTTACAGCTCATTTCCTACGAAGATGATGTGTGGTTTCACTTTGGTCGAATTAATGGAAAATATATTATTTTGTGCTCTAATTCACAAATGAAGTTATCAAGAGAATAATTGCCCAACTCACTGATTAATTTGCAGCTGAATTTGGATCAATATTGTGTAAATGAGAAGATTGGAGTGAATTGGTAAAAAATGTTGATGAGAATTATTTCAATCATGCATTTTACACCTTTGCCTATTATTCATCTGCATAAATAACAGTGCAACATTACAGTGAAGTTCCTTCTAATCCAATGTCAAGCAGAGTACAATTAGAAAAAAAGACTTTCACATTGTGAAAATTATTGTAAATATGCAACGTTATCATTATAGGTTATACAAAGGAATAATTATGATGCTCGGAAGATTATCTTTAATTATGGAGAATGTAGAAACGACTACCTTAAAATACTTCCAAATTGTGCTGTTTTTTTGTCTCTTCCATCCTTTTTAACCCTGAGTGTGTTATGTTTTCCTGGCCACAGCCATCACAGACTGTGCCATTCTGAATGTATTTGTGTACATGACACCTCATTCAAATTCACCACTCTACAGTTCATTGCGAGTACATTTCATTTAAAAAAGATTAAGTTAACTGAAATAGAGACACCAGTTCATAAAATTGTTGCTCAAATGATCTGAGTTGAGCACTTTTCACATACAATTATATTGGTGCTTTGTCTGTGTTTTAGTGCACATTCTTATGCGTGGTGAAATGTATATTTCTGAACAAAGGATTCATGGTGTGTCGTGTGTTGTGTGTTGTGTGCAGGCTCACCCTTCCTGGGCAGTGAGGGCCGTGTGCTGGGTGGGGTGATCGTCCTGCGGTGCTGCAGATGTGTGGAAGCACAGCCATCTCCAAACATTCAGGGTTTACTAGGTAAGACCGATTATATAAAGTAAAAATGGGGACAATAGCACAAAACTTGAAATATTTGAATCCTGACTTGTACATTAAAGGCACAGTATGTCATTTTCAGTGCGTTGGTCCAAAATACACATAGGAATTACTGTTGTGCTTGAATGGTCACTAATGGTGGAGAAGAACGTCGTCAAGAAGGAGACGCACCAGAGACAAACGGCTCTGTGCACATTATTTCATTTTTATGACTTTTGAATAAATTGTTTGGTTTACACCTTTTTAAAATTTGAAGCCTCTCATTTTGACAGCTTCCCTACAAATGACAAGGAAATATTTAATGGTTATAACATTTCCTGGAATTGTGCAAAAACTGTGTCTCCACTTCCAAGAAATATATGGACCCTCACAAGTCACCAGTTTACTTACAACTTTGTCAAATGATTATAAGGTTTTTACAATTCACTAATCACTTATCCAGACTAGCACAAATTAAAGTCTGTGTTCCAGTTAACTAGTTTGATAATTATTGACTATGGGGAACGCAATTTAATGTATACTGTAAAAAAAGCAAAAAAGGCTCTTCATTTAAAAATCATGTGTAGATATGTGGACATTGTGAGCAGTGTTTGGTGGTTTGCCTAGCGGGTGGTCTACTTTTTTAACTAACACAATCAGGGTCTAGTTTCGCACCCTTCATCTCAGATTTAGCCTGAGACCTCCCACTTTGGACTGAACCCCTAATCTCATGGACACTGCCCGCTGATTGTGACCAGGGATCCAGTTTCTCTACCTGCAGCTTTCGAAAAACGTCTCCAAAGCTGCCATCCAGGAATTTGACCTGTCTTGCATTTTTCTCTGACCACATCCCCCTGAGCCGGCTTCATTGATGACAATATTATTTACTTTCGTTCATCTTCTTTCACCCTTTCTGGTTATGGATCGTTGGTAATTGAGCCCATCTTTATATTATTCTTCATGGAGAGTGACTGCTAGTTGAAAACATACACAACCAGTCCTCTTCTACAGTTCCTCAGCAAAGAAATTTTTAGTGGCTCCGTTCTGACTTAGAATGAGCTTGTTACGTGCTGTATGCATGTTGCTAGCCTTCTGTATTTTGTTCGCAGTGGAGTTCCTTTGGAGTCACACAACGGAGAGTATGTGTGTTGGATACATGTCAGCCCAAGACAGCAAAGCAAAGGTATGCAATAATCAAAAACACGCATACATTCAACAACACGAATTACCTGGATTTTAAGACTAACCAGTGTATGGTGAGGAAGTGACATTAAGTGAGAATAGCATAGATCGGGGGTGTCAAACCGGTTCCAGAAAGTGCCGGTGTGGCAGCAGGTTTTAGTTCCACCCTGAGCAGGAGCACACCAGACTCCACCCATTTACACAATTCTTCAGGTTAAAACTGGACCCGCCTGAGGATTTTTTATTTTATTTCTTTTCATATTAACATTCACAATGTTAATTACTGGCTACAAACACAGACATGCATTTGTAAAAAAAAAACGATTTATTTTTAAGATGAGCACTGTCGGTGTGAATTTTATCCTGTCAAATTCACAGTGCTTTCTCTGGGGTGTATCTCTGGCCTTTTCATATCATTGTACACTGTGTTCTTTGCCTCTTAGTTGTATGAAGAGAGTCCACTGTTGTCCGAGCTGCTTCAGATTTCAAAGCTTCTATGAAGTCCCGCCTCTATGTGCTCACCTGCTTCTCCTCCTCTAACTCTCTCTCTCTCACTCACCCCCTGTTCTTTGACTGCCCATCCCTGCGCCTGGTTTTGCTAACGTTTACTTGGTGTCCTTCACAGCGGGGATATCGGTATCAATCTGCATATTTGTCAGATTTGCTGCTGTGTGGAGGAATGTACCAAGCGTTCCTCTCTCTTATTTTTTTTTATTTTTTTTTTACAATATTGTGCCATCCAGCAGTCTGAGAGATGAACTCATGGGTCTGACTGTGCAGGAGTATGTGGTCTCACTAAAACTGCCACATCCAATTAGTTTTGTGATTTAGGGTAGTATGTTCTTATCCATATGCTTGTTTATAAAGCCCTCCACAGTCTAGCACCTTCATATATTTCAGATTTACCTTGTGAACCTCTGTGCAGTATCAGATCCTTGGCCGTTCCTCGTGTAAAACTGAAGGAAAAGCAGCTTTCTCACAATATGCTCCTTGCAAATGGAATTCTCTGCTTAATGACATGGAGAAGTTTGTTTAATTTCATACCGTGAAACATTGTAGGCAAAACAAATGCACATCTCTGTTATGGCAAGATTTAAAGATAAGAAAATGTATGTGAAACTCAAACAATTATAATATTGTTCAAACGTTCATTCATTTCTGTAAATCGACTTAAAAAAATTGACTCATTACATGCAAAGTGGCTATAACAATATTCAATTTTTCTGAGTTTTACCTGTAGTGCACATATAATTTTGTAAGTAATTAATTCAACAGGATATAATCAAAGTTTTGAGTACTCAGGCTCTAACAAAACAAGGCACTAGTAGTTCCTAGGCCATAACTTGGCCATTGCTCCCCTCTGTATTCATGACGATTCTTGATGGCCCATTATAAAATAGTTAATCCACTTTCAGTTTCTGCCATCTTGGCTCTATGACTTCCATTACTGTGCGGTGAAAACTGTTGAAGCGTGTTAAGTCATAGCTGCTGTCCGTTAGTGGGATATCTTGGGTAGCGGCCCTTGATCTCAGGGGACACAGTATCCACTTCCTCCTGGTGACACAGTGATATTCGAGCCTGGAGCTTAGGGCACAGCTGCGTGGCCAACCCTCACACGACTGAGGCTGCTGTACCCGGGCAGCGATCCTACAGTCCACATGGCAACCGCTCTCTGACGTTCACCTTTCATGTAAGTCCCGGGATGCCTCTCAACAAAGCCTTTGTTTTTATCCTCCAGCCCGGTTAGGTGACACAGACACATGGAGCTTTCTTTGAAACGTTAAAGTTTGCTCCAGCCTTAGTTTCCTTCATTTGTAGTGTTTTTGTTTTGAAGCTGCTGAACCACAGAAATCATGGTGTTAAGCAACGTTTTCAGACAGACAAAAGACTACTAGATATGGATTCTCTTGTGAAATTTGTCCTCTGCATTGGCTCATGCATTGGCTCAGGCTTTAACTGCCAGACACAGTGGGCTGGGCAAGAATAGTTAAGTACCTCACTTTTGGTTTACATTAGCTCTTGGATGTTCAGTTTTTAAGTTGAAGAAAACCCAAAATCTGGAAAGACGATTCACCACTCCATGTTGCCGGGGGAATTGTGAAGTTGTTGTGCTGTGAAATGAAAGGACAGTTCATTGTGTTGTGCAACATGCAAAGATGTAATCCTTTAGAGAATCCATTTTTTTTTTCTTCTGAGGCAATGGGTTTGATAAAGTTTGGACTCATATTTAGACTGAGCGCATGCATTATGGGAGAGGGCTATAGTTCTTCTCTGGTATCTTATTTATTGACCCATGAGACATGCTCAAAAAGGGCCTGGCCAAATGATGTTACTCTGGCCCCGTCCACACGTAGCCGGGTATCTGCTAAACCGCAGATATTTTTCTTCGTTTGCACCTGTCATCCACATGACAACGCATTATAAACAAATATATAAAAAACCTCCGGGCAAAGTGGAGATTTTTGAAAACTCCGTTTATGCATTTGCGTGTAGACAGAGATAACGGAGTTTTGCGTTTTCGCACGTCACAGTCTGCCCCCAAAACAGCAACAAACTAAACATGCGACCTCTGATCACTGAAGAAGCATGGATCTTGCTGCCTTAAAAACTGTTCGCTGCTGCGATCGGTTCACAGCAGCGGACACCCTCGCACCACATCAGAGAGCAGCAAAGTGATCACGGGACTCGCGCTCAAAAACAACCAAAACAGGAGCTAAACCAGGATTAAACCAGGGCTGAGTACGGGGGTCAGTGCTTGTAAACTTCTGTCTTTACCCTGACTTTTAAATGTGCCCCTACAGAAGTACCGGCGTCAGAATCAATGCTCCGCCCACTTCTGTGTTTTTCCCCCAACGCAGGACGTCAGAGGACTGAAAACGCAGATGTTCGGTTATGTGTTGATGCAATTTGTTTTATAAACAGAGGAGGGGAAGTATTCCGTTAAAAATTCCCGGCTACGTGTGGACATGGCCTCTATTTATCAAAAGTTACGTAAGGGGGCACGTAGAAAGGCCTCGGAGCTGGTTGGGAGGTTGTGAGTCTGTGGCAGGCGGATGTGGCCATTCAGGGTTGTGAGGGCTTTAATCTATATTTCACTTTTGGTTGAGTTCTTTTGGCTGCTTCAAGAATCACCCTCTTAAGGCTGTTCATTTTGAATCTGTTCACATTAAAGGATACAGCTGCTCTTCCGTACACATTCTTTCCATTCCTGTAGCATCCCAGCGGGCGTTGCTAACTGTCTCGTTGCAGTGAATCCTGGCTTTTTGTGATAAGAACATGAAAGCAGTGATACATAAAGGTATTCAGGACACCGGACAAGCTCCATTTTAACTGTGGCTAATTCACCTCCTCTTTCTTTTACACTTTGTATCTTTGTCACTTTAACAAATTCAGAGTTAACACACAGCTCTGTCCGAATTGTGTTGCAACCCAGAGGCAGACGAGGCTGGCCGCTTCTCACTGCCTTTCCTCTTCAATCAGCATTAGTTTCTTGGAAAGTTGAATCATGTATCCTAATCCTTCTGACAATACACTGTGAAATGGTCATAAAACACTGTGAGAGCATCTGGTTTTAGTCAAACACCTCACCTGTGTTTGCACTGGATCTACCACCAGGACATTGAAACATGGTTTTATCCACAAAAGGCTGCACTTTTGAGACTGATCAAACTATTGTTTTTATGACTCAGGAGATGAATGAACTCCATTTCAAGATGATTGCACCAAAACTAACAAACGTCAATGTCACTTTTTTTGGCTTTAAGCATTTATTTCTTCATTATAATCTGGATAATCATATTTGTACATTAAATGAATGATAGTGACATTTTCAATGGTGACACCCTGGTACAGCCCTTTTCGGCCTCTTTCTGGACAACATTACAACTTTAAAGGCTGCTCACACATGGCATGCAACTCGGGCCTTGTGGTCATTGTCTGCTTTGTGTATTACCCAGAAATGCCTTTTATTATAGCACATTTTGCTTTTATTATGCATTTTTCATGAGAAATAAATAGCATATGATTGTCTTTGTTGCATGGAGTAGAAGAATGCAAAAGCCACAATAGAAAACAGTGGGGTAGTCATGCTGCTATATTTATCGTAGCGCTCTATTCTATGGTGTTAATGTGGGGTTCTTTTTCTCCTTGTTTTTGCTCAAGAATGCTGTTTTTCTCCCTCCAATGATTGTTTTTCACATTGTGTTGAGACTTAAATGCAAATCTGACATGTGGCAGAATGAGAGCGCTGGCACTCGCTCGTATCTGGAAAACACATAAACACCCCTGCCATGTTTTCCTATTAGTTTCCACAATACATGATTAAGCATTTTAATTAATTTGTAAAGGCCAATTAAATAATTACTTTTTGCTGGGAACTAACAATTTACTGAAGAAACAACTAAATGTATTTTTATTACAGTCAGTAATTATAATATCTCATTCTCAACTGGACAAATAAGTTGTTGGCCTGGGGGCAATGGCAACGAAAAGCCTAGGAACTGGCACAGTTGGGCAGTATTTGACCTACTTTGACTTTAAAACAGAACTTTGAGACTGCTTGCTTGCGAGTTTGATTCCCATGGTCTCTGAGAGCTACACTGTGGCAACTTCTTTGCACAGTGTAGGACTGGCATTGAGAGTGACACATTTCTCTATGGGGCAATAAAGTGCTTCACCCCACTTCAATTACTTTAATATTGAAATGACTTAATTTGCAAAAAAAATGAAGAACCATGTTAGCCACTTAACAAATCTTTGGACTAAGAGCTAAGTGAATGCACATGAGTGGTGGTCTAGTTTATTTGAATAATCTTTACCACTACTTTACTTCCATTATGTTTTTCACATGCCGTAGGTTAGGTTAATGAGATAGAAAAACAGCTGATGTGTGAGTTAAATCGCACACCTCTTAAAGCATTACGATTTTTCCTATACGTTTAGGCTGGTAAGCATTTAGACTGACCACTGCTGTACCGTTTATTTCTGACATGTCAACTTCAAACGCTGGAGATTAAGCATGTCACCATTAGATAATTGCGGCTGTGGGACAGACCTTCGCTTGAGCAGTTTAGAGTCGCCCTGTCCCAAAAGATGAAGGGGCAAAGATGAACTCAGACATGGGGTAGCAGAGGCATAATAGCCCCTTGAGAGTGCTACCATGTGTTTCTGCCCCGTCTGTCTGTTGTCTTATTCCAGTGACAGATGCCCTGGAGCTGCTGAGGGTCAAAGTCCAGGCTCCTATAGTTCCAAGGAAGATGATAGTTCTGTCTCACTGCAAGATGCCCTTGGAAGACCGTAATATATTTTTAGATAATGCCCGGTTAATGCTGTAATGTTGAATAAACAAAAAGGCCTTCATGACTATTTTCATTGAAATTCTCAGTTGACATTTGAGCCTTCTGTTAGAATATTGCTACAGCACAAGCAAGTCTGTGAAGACTTGGACTTAATTGTTTTGTGTACAAGTTGCTCAATATTTTCTCATCTGTCCGTATCTATCAGCGTCATGCCAGAAACTCACTTTGCTTTGGCCACAATGGTCACTTTTTACACTGCCACACATTGCTCTGAGTGTGCGTCACGTTTCCCTAAGCCTTCTGGTAAAGTCTTTATAATAATAATAATAATAGTAATAAATGTATTTAGGACACTGTACAAACATGGTTGAAAACGGGGAGCAATTTCAAAACATTAGCATTATTAAAAACAAAACAACAGAACTGGACAAAGGTGTTGTTGTGACTGGTCAAGTGGGGAAAGAAAGTCTGAAAAGCAGTCTTTACCCAGGTCTTCTCGCAGGATTATCTCTAAATAAGAGAAGTGGGAATGAGTGTGTCCAAACAAGCCACCTCTCCAGATATTAACTGGCTGAACCCCGGCTGGACGGTGCATGCATGTTAGTTAAAGGCTTGTGGTGCTATTCTTTGAGCACACGTTTTTCCACTTTCTTCTTCTTTTGGCATGGGCATATTCCCAAGATGAAACACTGCTAAACAGTTCAGGGAGCATGAGACATAATTTTCACACATGGATTTGCCTGCATCAGAGTCCAGATCTTGACCCCATTGACAAACTGTGGGATGTGCAAGAGAAGTTATTAATACGATTGATGAAAACAAATGTAATTTATTCATTGCAATTTGACATTATGTTCCCAAGGCTTCTGCAAGAGCAAGCTACTTATAGCTCAGGCCGGTCCAACAAAATATTAGGGTGTGTGTATTTGTTTGTGAATAGTGATTAGTTATATATGGGTTGCATACATTTCGAGCTGTTTTGGATAAAGACTCGTAAATACTTTCAGTCTCAAGATATGAAACGCAGAGAGAGACAGACTTGCAGCTGTTCCACAAAGTATTGACTTAGGGGGTTAAATTCTTTTGCACACCCCACTTTTCAGTTGTTTAATCAAGAAATAGAAAGCTCAAAATCATTTCACTTCGTGTCTTTCACATTAAATCTAAATTAAATATATTTTACAATTTGCCATGCAAGGACTAAGACATAAAACATTTGAAGGGGTGTGGAAACTTATGCAACCCACTGTAAATAGTTTACAATAAAAAAATGACATTTTAGGCAAAAGTAAATCTTGCTTGAGGATAGTTGATCTCTTAGATAATTTCAGATTACACTAATACTAATAATTATTCTTCTCCAAATAATATAAATATGAACATTTGTTATTCATTTATTTCATGGAAGGTTTACTTTTCAATTTGTTTCCATGATAATTTATCTTGAAATAACACAATAAATCTGCAACAGGAGTAATTTTTGAACCTCACGGGGCAAAATAATTGCGTTCAGGGTTCAGACCATAGCTCCGCGGTTTAATGAGTGCTTCGATATGTCATGCTCCATGTCTTCTGTGTTTTCTCTTTGCGTCCAAGACAAATAAAGAAATCCTAAATCTTGACATGATTCTGGGTCCAACATGGCCGACAAATGCTCTGCGCAAAAATGAAGATTGATATTTGAAAGTGCTGCTGGAGCGCCTAGTTTTTTTGCAGTGCGTACAGTGGAGTGCGGTGACAGCAGGGGACGAGCAGGAGCAGTGTTGGTTTCATGGATGAGCGGATGACAAGTGTTATTGGCACAGAGACGGCGCAGGTCACCTTTGATCCTCCGTCTTCTGCCTTCACAGCTGTGTTTGCTCCTCGGACACACTGCTAAGCCTGTCCACTTTCTCCCTCTGCAGCTGACACCGGACTCCTCAAACATGGCACTGATGTACGGGCCCAATGTTACGCTTAATCTGGGAAATAACGTAATGCTCCAGTCTCGCATAAATATTTTGGAGATGGTACTTAGCAAATGCAGCGCTCACTGACTGCTGATTTGCGGAAAGAAAATATGTACTTTTCAGACGCCCTTCTTTCTCCTCATTAAATTGTACATATTTTTATTTTTCAACAAAAGAACACCGGACACACAAATCTATGAAAATGATACTATGCAAAAAAAAAAAAAAAACCTTAATAATTTAAGCCTTTCCACAGAACTGCTCCAGATGTTTATGGTAGCCTCTTTAGTATTGTGGATATGTGCTGTATAATTTATTCATTTTAAACTCGTACATAACAAAACAAATGGAATTCACAGTTTGAGAAGGGGTTGAATGAAGCAGGAGCTTTCTGATCATTTCTGACAATTTATTAGTAAACCAACTTTTTAATTTAAAGGGTCAACAGTTGAACCCAAATCACCAGTTGAAGGTATAATATTGTTTTTTCATTACCAAAGAGTCTGAATTTAGAAATAATGTGGGTCCCAGTATATGTTTTTATTGTGTAACTGTACAGCTATCTGAAGCGAGAGATATACATTCTGTATTTTTAGCTATTTTACTTAAGTTTTACCTAAATTTTCTTTATGTTTCATATTATTTGTAACTGAACCTGCAATTATTACATCATTCTCAATCACTACTGTATTCATTATTATCACTGACCATGCCTTGTCCTTCCGCAGACACACATCTCCCGTTTGCCTCCTGGGACTGTCCCCGGTCAGTCTCTCGCCATCGAAGGAGGCGTCTGTCGTCTCATGAGCTCCTCAGACTGACCGCACTAGTCCTGGTCGACCACGGCAATAACCCCAATCACCCACCCTCCCCCGAATCCCCCAGCCCCTTTAAGGTTCCACTACCACCACTTGTAGAGGTGTAATGAGCTTTAGCTATTACAACAGGTGTCCGGAAAGGGAAGGAGGGATGTTTGCTTACTTACTTACTCATTTTGTAGTGCACTTAAAGAACTTCCTTGTGTTCCAGCATGTTATTCTATGCCAGTTTCCACCCTCTTCTGAATCCTTTCTTTGGACACCTGGATTAGACTTGATGCACCAACGCCTTGATGCACCATATTTTAGTCTTACTTAAAGCTGGGGGACCTAATTTAATAATTTAATTTTCATAGTGACTTGCCTGTTGTTTGTATCAGAGGAAAGGGTCTTGAAAAAGTGAAATTTTATACAGAAATCAACATGCAGTCTTCTTCCTAGAACCAAGGTATATTTTTGTGCTTACTGTGAGTCTCTATTTACTTATATGGGCTGTGTGGTGGGAATACGGGATCCTCTTATTCACTTTTCTGTCTGAAAAAGATGATGTGACAGAGATAGACTGTACATGCATGTGAAAACTAGTGATGGAAGATTAAGATTAAGAGATCCTTTATTCGTCCCACAGTCGGGAAATGTCAGTGTTGCATCACCGGGTACAGAATGGTAGGAAGCACACAGCACAAGATAAATGCACAATAACTCTATACTAAATAACATGAAATAAAAACCAAATCTAATAACTTGAGCCTAAAAAAGAAGCAAGTATAAACTCTTGCTCTTTAGCGTCATAAGGAAGCAGATCTAAAATCTCCAACTTTAGCATCATGAAGAAGCAAGAAAATAAAACCCATCAAGGAACTCAGTTTGTAGTTTGAAAGTTAGGTTACCTAGCTTTAAACCAATTTAGCTACATTTTCGTTTTGTACATAAGCTATTATTATTTAGGACAGCAGGGTAATCATTATGTTAAGAGTGAAATGATTTCTTATATTCAACTGCCATGTGGTACGCTTGCTAGCCATGCTAATCAATGTGAATGGAAATGATGTATTCTTACTTGCCATGTCATTTATTCAACGTAAACATTATATACTTCATCTGATTGTACCAGAATCATGATTGTTCAGTTTATCCACATAAGGCCATAGACTTTGCCTTTCACTCAAATGATTTTTATCTTCTTTTGCATGCACATATCTACAATAAGACAGATTTACAGTAAGCTATGCATATATGGAGTAATTCAGGAAGCAGCTGACTGTTAATATCACCTGAATTTGTTATCAATTTTGTATAGTCACACTTAAAAACGTTTTTACTAAGTTTTATGTTCAAAAAGCCCATGTAATGGTGCTGGTGAATTGTACTTGAAAGGTGTGCTGATTTAAATTGATAATCGTGATAGGAGTTGGTCTGAGCTACTCTAGAGCTACTTGAAAAACAGCAGATTTAACTATAAGCTATTGTAACTGCACAAGGTCAATAAAACCTGTCTTGTAACATTTCTGGGTCTAATCTTTGTTTTATTCATAATGTTTTGTTTTTTTGATACCATGTAATTCAATACCACCACGTTTTACTATTTCCAGACTGCTTTGGACGTTTGTGTCAGCGTATAGCCTCTCTCACTGCAAACATCAAAGAGCCTGAAAAGTGCGCGTTCAGTATAAGTGGAGAAAAGCTGCACTAACCTATGCCATATAACTACAAATAAATGAAATTATCAATTAGATTATACTGTTTTATACTAATCCATCTTAACCCCTGTCACAGACAATATACGTCAAACCTATTATTCATAATCCAGTAGATCATTATAGTTTGACGTGTTGCTTCAGTGGCACTGCAAAGTCTCACCCATTCCCTAGTTTAAATATTTTTTTAAATCAACTATCTGGTAACCGCTATTTACAGCCTTTTATTTCAGCCCAAAAATAAACAGATTTGAAATGTTCATATACAGATTTTAAAATGTTAAAATCTTTCCTAAATGCGGTATCCTGAATTGGATTTTTTTATGGGCGCTTCACCACTGCACTGTTAAGGTACTCCGGAAAAGCTACAAATTTGTTTTACTTTTTGGATTGGGCAGTGTGTATTATTAAAGAGTGGGAGCTGTACATACACCAGATTGTAGTTTTTTTGCCAATCTTCATCTGCAGTCCCACACTCTCATTCATTCAACCCATTGTTCAATCACCTATTGTACACAATTCTGTAAGAAGAATTTTATAAAACATGCAAACTATGTACAGAAAGGCCTTGTTGTTATTACAAGAAATATATTTATATCTTTCTATTACATTTTCTCCATGATATTTTTGCGTTGCCAGGTTTCACAGTGTTTACCCCCAGTATCTGACAGCATATCTGTCTCTCAAGCCACCCTGAAGAACATTTTAAAGCCATTACTATCATGCACTTTCAGCTCAATACAATACTGTATGCCCCGAGTACAACCACAAATTATTATGAAAAATCCCTTTCATGATATAACGATGACTGAAGTGTGTAGACTTAAACAAGAGGAGAGGCTGAACGGTCACAGCATGAAAACATGGAGTCTGTTTGCCTCTCAGGTATAAAATGTCCCCATGTCCTCACCGCTGCCGTCACATGGGGCCAATGCGGTTGACGGCTGTGACGGGACGGCCTAGAGGAGGACTTGTGTAATGAGACAGGGGCTGCACTTGTGTTTGTTTTGGCTGCTCTTGACCCTGGCCTGATCTTGAGGCTCCATCTTAACGGGATACGCCTGTTAGCTCGCCCTGCCCCCACCCCACTCCACGCCATTAGCTTGATTATAACCTATTAAAGCCATAGCCCCCTTCTTTTCATCAATCGCTGTTGCTGGGAGACCCTTCAAGCTGTATTTTCAAGAGCTATTCTGACATCCAACCTTCTTCTTTTCTCTCTTTCTCTCTCTATGTTGCTTTGAAAATAGATCCCAGGTCTTTAAAGAAGTGGATGGGACTCCTGGACCATTCAAGGTGTATCCAATGCCCTGTGCTCGGCAAGCCTCTTAAATGCAAAACAGACGGCGCAGCAAATAAAGATCAAAGGCGGTGTTTGGCCTGCTGTCCGCGCATGCCAAGCCCTCCCTCTCTCATGGCTGTCCGCGCAGAGCCACCACATAACCCCCATGAAACTATCACGGCGCTCAATGTCAGTGTTTACGACCCCAGCACACAGGGTTAAAACCAGAGAGCATTTGTGGACCCCATTGTCACATCAAGGCAGCGGTGACCCAGGGGATAAACAGCGGCCTAAACTTCTCCCAACCTGCTCCTGGATCAACTTGAAGAGGCCATTTTTGCATTTGGCTCATAGTTAATATAGAGTTTTCGTGAGAGTATTGTCTTGAAGTGATTTATAGCAACGCAGTGCTTTGATTTGAGATGAAAGGCAGTCCTGAGCAGATCTGAGAATGGAATGTCTAAATTTAACGAATAATAGCTTTGTGTGTATTAAACGCATAGGAGTCAGCCACCTGTCACATTAAAGTGTGGTTGGATGAATCTATGTTTAGTTGCCTTTCTCTATTTTTCCAGGCTTATGATTGTCACAAAGGCCACACTGACGTATTGGAATGAAAAGGTAGATCTTCACTTGAATCGATTTCTTGCTTTTACCTGGAAATGTTATTTCTTTCTGTGGAATGTTCCAGCGTATGAAGCCAAATTTGGCATTCAATACAATATATCCCCTCTCACAACACAGCTTTGAATAAATAAAATTCAAACAATTGACTGACTCTTCTCTGCATCAAGTTAATGTACTGAGAAAAGACACAAGTGAAGATAAGAAGGAACATTAAAGTAGAAGGACTACAGAACATTCATGAAAGTGTATAGCCAAAAACTACAAGTACACTGCGTGTTTAGGGCCAACTGAAGCAGTAATGAGGCATTTCAGATTCATGAAAAAGAGACCTTCAAACTGAACAGTTATTCTAAATGCTTAAATCATTTAGAATAACACCTGCATACACCTTTACCAAAAGGACATGTCACCACGCAAAAAAGAATCTCAAACATAAAATGTCCCGTAGATATGAACCTTGCTACAGTCTTTCACAGGTGTACAGTGGTAAACACAGGACACCTGTCATTGGTGTGACTGTAACAGAGAAATTCTATTTTACAATCATTCAAAACAATGCAACATAAAATGCCAAAATATGTCTTTTGAAAAGCGTGCATTCTCAACATGCGCTGGGTTTACCTTTGCTCTGACCTGACCGGTAACTTTGCCTGTGTGGCGTTTCTTTCTAAGGTTTAGTACCGAGTTTAAAAGTTAAGGGAAAAGTCTTTATCACAAAATAAAATAAATATTGCATCAGATTCTGAAAGGTGCATGTGATTTAAGGCTGGGACACAGAACTTTTTTATTTTGTAAATAATATGTTTCCTTTTTTTTTTTTTTTTTTAACAAAACCAGCTCACAAAATGCTGTCTTCAACTAATTTCAAACATTGTATCTTTTTCCTACTGTGAGCCATGTGAGTCAATATTTGACAGTTTCGGCTGAGTGCTGATTGGCTGACTGAAGACTGTCTTGTCTATTTTCCGGTCTGAAAAAGCTGATGTAAAACTGTGACAGAGGGCAACAAATACATGCATGTGAAAACTTGAGACAGGAACTAGTTAGATTAGAAATGTATTCGATTGTTTCATCGTTTTGTGTTTGGTTTGGAAGTTAAGTACCCTGGTTTCACCATAATACAATCCTAAATGATGACCCACAAATGAATACTCACTCCATTTGTCCCCGGATCATCCAAAAGAGCCAAACACTTCAGATGTACTTAGCTCCTGTGTGGAGGTTAGCTCAGGCCTTCTCAGATGCTCCGCAGCCACTTGACCTGTTTGCTCAGCTGTACCGCGGCTGCATGTTTCTGCTCCTCGCTCCTTTCTCACATGACTCCTTCAAAGACGCACTGTCCCAGATCACTTCAAGCTTACACTGTTTTGTTTTTGTTTTTTTTATGCAAACATGCA